AGGCAGTGGGCAGAGGGAACACATAGACAAATGTCTGTGATGGGACTGAATGGGGAGAAAAGCACATTTCAAGGATCAGTCACAGAGTGAGGAAGAAGAGAGTCTCTGGCTGGAGGCCAAGGAATGGGGTGGTCATGGGAGACTCTGGTGAGAGACAGGAGAACACAGCCTGATGTCAAGGAGAGGAGGGGAAATAGCAGAAGGCGTGAAGCTTTTCAAGTTCGGGGTCTGGCTTCTGCCTCCTGAACACACGGGTGTGATTCTGTTTTATGATGGGGAGTTGAGAGGTTCACCAGCCAGGGGAGGCTCTTTCCTGGAGGAAGAAGGAATTCATGGCGACACACACAGCGACCACCTCCATCCCACCTGTCCTGAGGGACCCGAGCTCACATTCAAGCTGCCATTGACTGGCATGGTCCTGAAATACCAGAGGAAATCTCGTGAAGAATGTGTGAAATGACTTTTCTTGTTCCATTAGCTCCTCATTGCTGAAATTTCCCCTGGACCATGGCCACAGAAAAATGAAAGCGCCTGTCTTGCTGTCCCAGCCACGAGTCTGCAGTTCATCCAGCCAAGCTGAGCCCTGATTCTGTGTCCACGAAGGGTTGCAAAAGGATGTTGTCAGGATGGTTCGAAAAGAGATTGGCTCTTGGAAGTCTGTGCCAGAAGAACAGATAGACATTGGGAAGGAGAGAGAATGCCAAAGAAAGTTGCCAGGGAGGGGCCCAAAAATCTAGAGGACAGGGAGCCGTACTTGTCTCAGGAGACATGTGCTGCCCCGGAGCCCCAAGCTTCATCCCCATCCTTCAGAAATGGGATCAGGAATGTTCAAGAACAAACAAGGCTGACATCCCTCACTCCCCAGGAATGTGCTTGGGAACCCACACCACAAGTGCACACACACACAGAGAGATAAATGCACATATGTACACACACACACACACACACTCAGAGTTGCCTGTGTATGCACAAACATAGACACGTATACAAAGAGCCATACAGACACACACAGAGACATGCAAACAGGCACCTATATGCACATGCTCATACCTACTAACACTTACATGCAGACGCACATGTGCACACACGCAAACACACATGACTCACATGAGCACACACGGGTATGCATATGTACGCATGCATGCTTGTGCTCCCACAGGGCGTGCCCAGAGTCCTCACCATTGTCAGTGTCACCACCTGGGACAAGAACCGTGAGCAACAGCAGTTGCAACAATAGCATCTTATGTGCAGATGTTCTTTCTTTCTCTCGGAAAGTGGGTCTTTGGCGTCTGTTCTCACAAACCTCCCCACATGCAGCCCCTCTCTTCTGACTTCCTTCTCAACACACACACCTTCCCTGAGTCTCCACGACAATGCAAATGGACTCCACCCTCAACCCTGGACACCTACTCAGACTCTCACTTCCCCTCCGGGTCTGACCCTCCTCTCCCGCTTCCAGCTTCTCCCTGTCACCAACCTCCATTCTGTTTCCCGAGGTCCTAACTCAGGTGCTGGGGACCAAGTCTTGGGTGGCATGGAAAAGTGACCCTACCTCTCGTGCCTTTTCTCCTCATCCAGACAGTAACCCATGAAAACACACAGTTCCCCAGCACCCAGCCCTGAAGTCGGCTGTCACCCTGTCCCTCATGCCCTTGGGACACTCCCCATGGACATCCTTCATGTCTCACCCCATGCTAGCTCATTCACATCTCTACTTCTCACTGCTTGTGCTAAAAAATAAAATCAACCAGATGAATTTGAAGGTCACCTTCCCCTAATTGGGAAGGTAGGGGTCTAATCATGAAAATGACCACACCTCTTGGAGGATGGAGAGGATCCATGTGAGAGAGGACCTCACTGTGATGAACAGAGAATTCCTCACTGACGGGGGAAGACTTACATTTCTGGGGGAAGTTGGACTGCACTTAGGTTAGGTTAAACAACGTTTGGGGAGTTGGCCTGCCCAAGGCACCATTTTGAGTCCATGGGTTTCTTTTAACACTTACTCTATTTCCAAATTTCGCCATGATTGCCTGTGTAACAGTATCAACAACCACCAGTTCACCATTATTTTAGGGGAGAATCAGTTGCCATCAGAGAGACCACAGGACATTGAAACATCTGAAGAACCCCCTCAGTCGGACTTGCATTAATGTATATTCACTCAACAAACAGTCACTTAACAGCTTCCTGGATCCAAGCACCTTGCTACATTCATGAAACTATAGTGTTCATGGGGTGCCTGTGGGCTTACTTGGTTGAGCATCCGACTTTGGCTCAGGTCATGATCTTACAGTTTGTGGATTCAAGCCCTGCATCAGGCTGTGTGACAGCTCAGAGCCTGAAACCTGCTTCAGATTCTGTGTCTCACTCTGTCTCTCTGGCCCTCCCCTCCTCATGCTTTGTCTCTCTCAAAGATCTCTCTCGCTTACTCTGTCTCTCTCTCAAAAATAAATAAACATTAAATTAAAAAAAATAAGGTAAGAAAATACAGTGTTCATCATGCAATCACTTTATTCAAGGAGCTTTTAGTCTCTTTGGGAAGAAAAACACATAAACCATGAACTATTCATTTTGGTGTGCTGAGTTAGTGTTCCTTTGGTTGTTGTTGTTGTTTTTTTTTAATTTCCAGTATAGTTAACATACAGTGTTATATTAAGTGTACAATATAGTGATTCAGCACTTCTATACATTACCCAGTGCTCATCAATATATGGGTAATTCTAATCCCCTTCACCTACTCCACCCATTGCCTACCCACCTCCCCTCTGGTAACCAGCAGTGAGTTCTCTATAGCTATGAGTCTGGGGGGGGGGGGTTGTGTCTCTTATTTGTTTGCTCATTTGCTTTGTTTCTTAAATTCCACCTATGAGTGAAATCAAATGGTATTATGTCTTTCTCTGACTAACTAATTCCAGTGACCATCATACCTCTTGATCCATCCATGTGGTTGCATGGCAAGATTTCAGTCCTTTTTATGGCTAGTCATATCCCATTGCATGAACAGACATCTTATTTGTCCATTCATCTATCCGTGGACACTTGGGCAGCTACCACATCTTGGTTATTGTAAATAATGCTGCAATAATCATGTGGGTGCATGTATCTTTTCAAAATGCTGTCTTCATAAATACCCAGCAGTAGAATTAATGGATCATATGGTAATTCTGTTTTTAAGTTTTTGAGGAACCCCCATGCTGTTTTCCACAGTGGCAGCACCATTGGCATTCCCACCAACAGTGTTCAGGACCTCCTTTTTCTCCACATCTTCTCCAACACTTGTTTCTTGTGTGTTTGGATTTAGCCACTCTGACTGGCGTGAGGTGACAGCTCATTGTGGTTTTGATTTGCATTTCCCTGATGATCAGTGATGGGGAGCATCTTTCCAATATCTGTTAGCCATCTGAATGCCTTTTTCAGAGAAATTTATATTCATGTCTTTTGATTAGTTGTCCTTTTGCTGTTAAGTTGTACAAGTTCTTTA